TACTCCTAAAACGTTACTCACAGTAACATTTTAGGAGTAAAACGTTACTGAAAATAACGTTTTAAAAGTAAAACGTTACTTACAGTGACGTATATCAACCTAATATTGTTAGTTTTTAAAAAATAAAATACACCCTAAAACGTTACCATGAAATACGTTTATACTAGTTTTGTAAAATTTTAGAAAAATGTATTACTTTGGTAAATTGTTTTATATAATGACTTAGTTTGATTAAAAATTCCCGATATGGAGATGCGAGTTCATATTAACTCAAGTCTCCATAAACCATGTAGTCATCATGGGTATCAAAGGGTCATACTTTTTAGATGATCACTTAAGTTAAGCTAGTGGATCCACTAAGCGCTCTATATGAAGGCAGAGTATAGGACATTTCTGGCAGCGTGGCAAGACGTTGTATCACCACTTAGTATGGTATGGTATGCCTATGCCTTTTATGATATTATAATTATGAGTTGACATCATGTTTTAAACAGCTTTTCTTTGTGTTGCATTTGTTTTAAACTGCTTTATATTGAAAAAAAGTTCAATTAAGTATAAGGAGTTGAGTACCTTAAGTTGAATATCTTGAGTTGATATGTGTTTCATTGAATCGAGTATCATATCTTTGAAATTGAGTTATAATCTCCGAGTTGAGTATCGATCTTTCCTTATGTAATTTTGAGTATCCTTGAGTATTCTCTTGAGTTGAGTAAGCTTGAAAATAGGTAAGTATGTTTTCATTTTTATCAATTTCAAGCTTATTTTATGCTTTAGAATTCTCATTACATGCTCGTACACTTCACGTAATGAGAAATTTGTCCTGCATCTTCTCATTATGCAGACACAGGTATTCAGGATCATCAATGGGAGCTTCGTTGATACATCTGAGTTTGAGTTAGCTATGGTGAGCCTTCTTACTTCCGAAGGATTTCATTTACTTTTCAGTTTAGTCAGGATGTCGTAGGATCTTATCCCGACTTTCATCTTTATCAGTTAGAGGCTTCATAGATAGTCAGTATAGTTGAGAAGTCTGTATCATTTATTTTATTAAATGTTTTAAAGACTTAAGTTGCCTATTATATGGCGAGTTGAATACATTATTTATTCAAAGTTTTTCAGTTGAGTTAAAGATTTGAATTTCAGTTTCATGAATTTTGTTCAAGTTTTTTAGCTTTTGTATGCTTAAGTTAGTCTTCCGCTTGTAGTCAGTCAGGATGAGGGTTTGTTTGGGGACCAACAATGGTATTTGAGTGCCGGTCACATCCAGGGTGTAAACTCAGGCGTGACACACCAAGTGAGCAAGCCATGATAAAATCATACTATTGCATTGATTCCACAGCGCGTACTTTGTTGGCTTATCTGTTTTCGAACGCCAATTCAATTGATTCATCGTTAAACGATAGTTTGTTTTTTGTTGTGAGAGCATGTATCATTGATTTGCTCCAGGATGGATAATTGATTCCATCCAACTTGATTGGAACAAACATGAGACTCGGATGATCTGAATGTTGATGAAAATATGGATTTGATGAATTTATATTGTTATTCTTATTGCTAGTGTTTGGACTTTTGGATTTACCAAGCTCTAAAACCATTTCGGAAAAGAAGAGAAAATAATATATTTTGCTGAAGTATTTTCGTTTATTCACAATATGATATATCATATTATATTATAAGTGGAAAGATTCAAAGCTCAAAGTTGAATTACCATTTTACCCTTATATTAAAATAATTAAACAAATATTAGAAAATATAATTAGATATTTTGATTTATTTTAATTAATTACTTTTTTTAGCATTTCGTCATCACAGATGGAAGAAGTTAACAAAAATAAATAACTCCGATTGATCAATGTTGATAATTAATAAAAGTATTGTGAAAGAAGTGCAAATAATAAATTAATCCAATATGAGTAATGTACTAAAATGTTTGTCAAAAGTAAACATTTTTTCATATATATCTATATATCATGTGGTGAGTACACAAGAATTAAAGCTACATATACTTTTTGACTCTTTATTAGCAACTCGTATACGTATTCAAGTATTGACAATTATAAAGAAAAGATAGACCTCACAAGAACACTTGTAAGTGTTGTTGATCGATGGACATGACTTCTTTTTTTGGAATTTTCATTTAGTTCGGAGACAATAACCAGAATTCTCATATTTTCCTCCCCACCTGTAATATTCTTCTTCATTTATAGGAATTTGAAGTTCCAAGTCATGTTCATCGAATGGCTTGAAGATTAAGTCGAGTTGCTCATCGCGCACTTTGTCAAGAGTTGAAGGGTTCCACTGAAAATGAAGAAAGAAAAGTGTTGTATCACGCATCAACTATTTATTATCAGTTTCAGTATTAAAAAAATATTACTCGAATAAACTCAAGGACTTTATAGTTATTCTAAATTGTTGATTGGTTAAAGGAACGAAGGAGCATACCTTTGGAGACTTATCCTTGTCAATGACGGCAGCCCTCATTCCCTTTAAAAATAAAATTAAAGAATTCTAAATGAGAAATCACAAATCAAGTGTACCTCTTTGTGTATATGTTTGCTTAAATATAAATTACCTCATAAAAATCATCAGATATTATGGTTCGTAATGTGTTGATTGTAATCCTAAATTCTTTTCTCAAACATTCAGATAGGGTTTGGGTCCTTCCTTCTCGTATCTAAAAAAAAATATAAAAATATAGAGAAAATGTAAGATTCTTTCTCTTTCACATTTCAATGGATATGCATAAATTGTTTATATGTATAGTTACCGATCTCAATGTTATTTTCAGTCCAATTGGAGATGCTTTCTTTATACTTTTAAGCACCGGCATAATCCAATCATTTCCTTTTTTGCCTGCTTCAGCTTCCTGAAAATTAAAGTTGTATCAATTATATGAAATTTCATTTCATGTATATATAATAGTATAATCAATTCTTACAAATGAATCCAGGATCTCCTCCACTGTTTCCCTGGAGAAACAATCATCGATTACGGACAACCTACAATTGATTTATACATGAAAAATGCATTAATATATCTCACAAGAACAATTTGAAATCATAATTTATATGATACACTACTTGCTCAAGACACTTCTTTCATCTATTTGAACATTTGTAGAGAATTCATCGATGAGAGATCTAATAGTATCCTCTTGATCAGCGTTGTTTATGCTTAGTAAACTCTTCTCTAACTGAAATAATTTGTGTGAAGGTACAAAATGAGTTGCTAAACCAGCAGCAACCACTTCTTTACCCTTCAATTTAGCTCCTGTTAAGCCCAAATATTCCCCTACATACATACATACATGCATACATGCATGCATTTAACAACATCAAACAACTATTTCAATTTTTAAAAATACATATTCTAACTTACTTACCAAGTCGACCTGGGAGTCGCGATAGTATGTATGATAAGCCGCAATCTGGGTGATACCCTAGATTTGCTTCAGGAGTGGAACAAAACTGCAATTTTTCAATAAGAATGAGAAAACATTAATTAAGATTAACAATTTATTAAAGATGTCATTATTAAAATCAATACTCACCGCTTTCTCAGTGACGACAGAGTACTTCATTGGAGCCATGAAGCCTACACCTCCACCCATTGACATTCCATGAACAAGAGCAATATGTGGTTTCTTGTAAGTATGAATGTGGTAGCAAATCCAATACACTCGATAAATATCTTCAAGGCAAGAATCCCCTTCAAAAAATATACATGTTTAATTGAGTGATTAATTTAATTAATTAATAGTAACTAATTCAATCGAAACAATAGTTAATTACTTGCATCATATATCCTTTTCAAATCCCCACCAGCACAGAATGTACGGCCAGCTCCCTATATATATATAACATGTACAACTGGATTAAATATTGAACTTGTCAATTAAGTGAATATAATTAAAAAAAATATTAATTACCTTGAGGATTACAAATTTAGCATTGTCATCTTTCTCATATTTCTCCAATTTCTGCCCCACCGTTAATGCCTAATATAAATCAACATACAAATTACAATAAGCCATTTTAACTATATGTTTAATTTGTTGATGTTATGTCGCATACCACATTTTCTGATATATAATTTAAATTGTTAGGCCTATTTAAGGTCAGCACTCTACCACGCCCAATTTCCTCAGCAATAACAACCTGAACAAAACCAAAAAAAAAAAATTAAAAAAAATAGCTCGAACATATATATAATTAAGTAAATAAAAATTTTACCTCTCTATTTTGTTTCATTACTTCTGAAGGCACTGTGATGGTACTTGGAAGAGATGTTATTCCCATCAGAAAAGTCGATTCAAAGAAGAGTGATGAGTGCAGAATTTGGAAAATGAACACTTTGTAAACAATAATTCTTACAAAGATTTAAAATTTGGGCATTACAATCACAGAGAAGAAGATCAATTATTGATTTTTTGTCTTTTTATTACTTTGTGCATGGAAAAGGACTTAATTTATACACCTAGTGTTATGCATGCATAGGGGTGGGCATGCTATATGTCATATACCCTATTGAAATCAAAATTGTTTATATCGCAATATAAATATCAGAGTACGGAGTCTAAAGGGTATAAAATATTAACAAAAAATTCAAAACGGTATATAAAATTTTATATTAACCAAAACGGCAAAATCGCTGGCACATCAGCGATTTACTCCATGGAAAAAAGCAAAATCGCTGCAGTGTGATTTTTTTTGAAAAAATTAAATCGCTACCATGTTAATATTTTGACTCTAAAAATAAAAGTCATAACAAACAATACCGGACGAAGAGAATATTGAATAGACACAAATGCACAAAACAATTCTATTGGATGAGGGTCTGTTGTGTTACGGAGGCACACACCAACCACAACAGGTGCTACAGAGTTTCAAAATTTTTTAAATCATCAAACTCTAGAGACAGTCTCAAAATAACAATAGAAGAGACCTATGCTTTAATTTAATATTTTAAATTTTTATGTTAGGCAATCAATTGATACTTCCAATGAGATTTTGTTCTAAATAATTGTGCTAATTTTTCCTTCCATTCATATACATGTTTATGGGTATGGGTTAATATATGTTAAAGTACGATTGTTAACTCTTAAGCTATGGATATTTTATTTTTGCATAAAGAGGTTATTTTTCTTTTATATATATAGGTACGTACTTAACATTACTGGTGAGCATTTAAATTTGCAAGGGTAATTTTATTTTTCAAAGCATCAAAGACGTGAAATCAATATTTTTGTTTAGTTTTTAAGTGAGATGTTAGAAGTTTGGCATGAATAACAAACTAATATTGAAGGTGATGGGCGATTAATTGGAGGAATTTATTAATAGCCCATTTATAGGGACCAAAAAGTTAATTTTTAGGTCTAGACATAATTAAAGTCCTAATATATGAAACCGATATAGCTGAAAGTTCTTTAAAAAAAAATAATAAATTATCATATGGCAATGTCACATTTAATTAGAGGTATCAAAAATGAGTTAATTATAGATAATCTGCCTAATTCGTCTATTGTTTTAAGAGTTGAGCTCAAGATAGTTTATTGAGTTCAATCTCAATTCGTTTAAGTCTTAACTCATTTAAAAAGAATCTTCAATTGAACTTAATTTAATCTCCATTTCAATTCGTTTTAAGACTCTTTAACAGCTTTATATAATCATGTATATTCCTACATTTTATTTTATTTTTTAAATATCTCTTTTTCTTTAAAAAAAAAACGAATTTATACCTCTAGAGTGACTTTTTATTCATAATAATCATAAAAAAAATTCAATAGGAATAAGTACAAGCAAGGGAGGTTAGACCTTACCTTTCCAATCTTAATGAGGTACTTATATTGAAGGTATGAAATAATATATTTATATCTTTTAGGATTTATTTGTCCATTTGTAAATCTTTATTTAATATTTTCTTGAGTTGAAATTCAAATTGTGGTTATAAAACTTAAATGTATATTATAATTATTGAGATTAAACGGGTTAAATTAGACAGATCAAGACCCAACCTGTTCATAAGCTCATTTGAGCTCAAAGTAAACTTGGATTGAATCGGATCAAGACTCAATCCAATTTCTATTTTAACTCATTTTAATATTTACATTTTTAACTCAACCCGCCCATTTGACATCCCTACATTTAATGATTCCAATAGTCATATCACTTTTATTTGATCACGTCATATGATAGGGGTGTCAATAGAATTTGAAAAACCGATCAAACCAGTTGAATCTAACTGTGACAAAATAATTTATTATATTTTTTTTTTTATAAAATTTTGGATTTTCATTAAGAGTATAACTATACCGAACAATGGGGGATAAACTTTTTAATTTATAAAAGAAAAACAAAAAATTTTCAAACCGAACCAAATAACATGTATGCAAATATTTTATATATTAACTATATATTAAATTTTATATATAAACATATTTTATAACTTTTCAAATATAAATATAATATAGGTTCTAGGTCTCCGCCTTTTAACTATCTGTTAATAAAGGGAAAAGAACATTTGTGCCCCAAAAAGAAGAACTATTTACAAGCGGCTAATTCTTACTTTCATATCCCTATTTTAATTACTAAATTCGTTTTTACTATTTGATATCATCTTTAATTGTATCATAGAAAAAAAGTGATGCTTCAGTAAGGTTGTTTTCCCTTTTATATATAGATACGTACTAAACATCGCATTATTGCTATTAGTACTTGCGATTATATATAAATTATCAAAATGAGTTTACTTATTACTTGATGTTGCTGGTGAGCATTTAAATTTGCAAGGGTAATTTTGTTTTTTAAAGCATTAAAGACGTGAAATCAATACTTTTGTTTAGTTTTTAAGTGAGATGTAAAAGTTTGGCATGAATAACAAACTAATATCGAAGGTGATGGGCGATTAATTGTAGGAATTTGTTAATAGCCCATTTATAGGGATCAAAAAGTTGATTTTTAGGTCTAGACATAATTAAAGTCCTAATTTATAGGAATTTGTACATTTTACAAGTCATACAAGTATAATGAATCCTATACAGCTGAAAGTTCATTAAAAAAATATTATCAAATGGCAATGCCACATTTAATTAGACGTATCAAAAATGAGTCCAATCATAGGTAACTGTCTAATCCGTTTATTGTTTTAAGGGTTGAGCTCAAAATAGCTCGTATTGAGTTCAATCTCAATCTATTCAAGTCTTAACTTATTTAAAAAGAATTCTCAATTGAGTTCGATTTAATTTTCAAATCCAATTCGTTTTAAGACTCCTTAATAGCCCTGGTGTAATCATGTGTATTCTTATATTGAAGGTATGAATTAATATATATTTTATATCTTTTATGATTTATTTATCCATTTGTAAGTTTTTATTTAAAAAAATTTTGAGTTGAAATTCAATTTGTAGTTATAAAACTTAAATAACAATTTATTAAAATTATTGAGATTAAGCGAGTTTAATTGGGTGGGTCAAGACCCAACCCGTTCTAAAGCTCAAAGTAAACTTAGATGGAATCGGATCAAGACCCAACCCAATTTCTATTTTAACTCATTTTAATATTTTCAATTTAAACCTAACCCATCCATTTGACATCCCTACATTTAATAATTCCAATTCTCATATCACTTTTACTTGTCACGTCACATGTTAGGGGTGTCAAAAATATATGAAAAAACGATCAGACCGATTGAATCTAACCATAACAAAATGGTTTATTATATATTTTTAATAAAATTGTGGGCTTTCATTTAAGAGTATAAGTATACCGAACAATTGGGATGAACTTTTTGAATTTATAAAAGAGAAACAAAAAATTTTCAAACCGAACTGACTAACTTACATGTATGCAAATATTTTATTTATAAGTATATTTATAACTTTTCAAATATAAATATGGGAAAAGGGTTAGAAATAACCCTCAATTTTGTTTTATTGGTTGATTTTGCTCTTACCGTTAAAGTGAAGTTAATTTTACCCCTATCATTACTAATTTCACCATATATACCCCTCATTGGATGGAAAGCCCCAAATTGACCCAAATTTTTTAAAAACCCATTCCATTTTTTACCCGATGCCCCGACCCTTCTGTCTGGTTTTTGGTGGAATTTCACATTTTTCACCTGCTTTAAGTGGGGGAGAATGAGTGAGTAGAAAGGTAGTTGATATTTGCATCTTTCCTTTTGACCTTATTCAATCTTGAGACCAAATCCTTAGTAGTTTGGTAATGATTAAGAGTCTTGCATAATAGTATGAGTTATCATGTGTTGTATATGAAGTTAGATAACTTAAATTTAATGTTAAAGAAGCAAGTTAAAACTAAGTTTTGCATAATGAATGTTAAGTGGAATTACATGTAGTGTACTTATTCCAAGAAATCTTCAACGTGTCACTAAGTGGGAGTGGGAGTATGGGATGCTACTCTCGCATTGCACTTAGTGTAACTTATCAATTCTCTTTGGAGTAAGTTAGTATGGTCTTGTCTTTCATATTGTCATGCCTTCTTGTTAAAGTTGCTTTAAAGGTGCATTATTGAAATTTTAAGCATGTGACACAGTGAAGTTTTGAGTTCACCGTAAAGAATTCCAAATTTTGAGAAAATTGCATTTTTCATGCATTATGGTTTCATTGTGTTTAGAAATGATGTGTATAAGCATGTCTAATGTTGGAGAAGGTAGTTCCTCCATAAGTGAAGGATAAGAGAAGATTTTGAAATGCGAGAGTTTTGCTAAAGTGATCCTTGTTAGTTGTTGCCTTGACTATGATGTTTGAGACTTGATTTTAATGTGTTATGTAATGCTAAGTGAGTCATTGATGATCTTAAAGTGTTTAGTGTCATTCGAGGACAAATGTTATTCTAAGTGGGGGAGAATGTAACACCCTAAAATGAACTAAGGTGAACTAGAGCTTCGTGATTATTTCTTGAGTTAATTTTGTGTTAAAATAAGTTATATTAGTGTTATTATGTAGTGTGTGAAGTTTGGAGGTCAAACGTTCGAGAACGTCTATGACGTTCGCAAGGTGTGCCTTAGAAAGTGCTTGTGTGTTTGAGTGAGTTTTACGTGTTTGTTTTGCTTGAAATTGATGTGAGATGTCCTAAGACCTAGAAGAATATGTTTAGGGATTTAACTTCTGGGTACGACCCCACCTAGGACCCACAAGGGGCCCTAGAGAAGGACCCAAAACTGCCTTGGCAGTGTCCACCAACGAGGGCAAACGATGGCCAGTGGTCCAGCCAACGGCCCGTCGACTTTCCCCATCGAATGGACCTACAAGGTAGGCTATCCGGGCTCCAAATGGATCTAAGTGTCCACCAACAAAACCCCACCAACGGACCGTTGATGGACAGACGGTCCGTTGGTTGATTTGTCGTTTAAAGCCTGTAAAAAAAATTGTCCTTTTCTGTAATGACTTGGGGTGTTTGGTAAATTCACCCCAAGTCTTTTATTAACCTAGGAAGTCATTTTTAGGTATATTAAGATGTTTTAAACCCTAATACCTAATATTAGACAATTAA